GACGTACGAGCTTGTTACAGAACCACTGACCTTCAATCAGATACCTTCTGCATTCCCCATAGCATCCCGCACGGAGCTAGTTAACACGGGAGGTACGAAACACACACCAGTGAAGGACATAAAGTTTGGAGTGTGAACTTGGCCACGGCCCTTCTGAGTCAGGGTGTGGAGGGCGTGGGAGCCTAGACCGGCAGGCTCCCTCTCTCAGCTGCGAGGCCTGACTGGCTGTTTGTTGAAGGCAGAGTCTCAGGTATCTGCAAACAGTTAAGTCAAATAACCGCCCCTTCTGCCACAAATGTCACCTCCAGTAGACACAAGCTGATAAACACCGCCATAAAGATAAGATGTCAAGACAACTGCATCAGGGCTCTCTTGACCCCACTGGCATCCCAGCCAAGAGCAAACACCAAATTGGATCCCACCGGGCCACAGTGTGGAATTCAACCTCCTGCCCAGCCCTGACATTTCTTTAATGGACAGTCTGTCCTTTACTATACCAAATTTCCGGGTTTTTTTCCCCCTCTGTTAATTTGTGATCAGATTCCTCTCCTTTCCTTTTTCCTTCCTTCTTGCTTTCTCTCCTGGCTTAGCCAGAGTTACATCTCTTATTTTCATTTTCCTATGTCATTTTGTCTCTTCCGCTTATTACCTCTTCTCTGGTTGTACCCAGCCCCAATCCATCCTAACTCTATCAGAGAATGTCCCACCACCCACATCATCAGGGTACGGGTACAAGATTCAGCAGCTTCACTCTTCCTTTTCTATATGGATGTGCTAAAAATGCAGCCAACTCACATCAAAGAGGAGGTATTGGAACAAGGGTGGGAGTGGGTGTGAAGTGGGTAAGAACTGTCTTATTGCTTTTATCATTTCAGCTATGAGGCAATTGATGGTAAAAGACCCTATGCCTTTTCCAATGCATCTTTTGTGAAGATACTCTGTGATTATGTAACATATATGCATGACATATTTTGCAAATATTCATTGACTCATTTGGTCTGGGAGCCAGGGTCTAACGGACCCGTGCTCTCAGATGCTAGACCACATACTGCATACAGGAAGAACATGTGGTATCTGTGAAAATATGCAAAAATCTGTTAAAATCCTTCTATTTTAGGCATTTTTTTCTGGCTTGCTTTCTATATTTCTATTAAAAAGTAAGGAGAAATCTGCCCCCTTGAAATTCTGAATGAGGTAAGAGAGTTCTGATGCGCCTAGACAAAGTAAAAGTGTCAGTATATGTCCCCGGTTTTGAAAGATAGCCCTCCAGCATGCAGACACTTGGCTGTCAGGCATGGCCACCCCATATGTCACTCCAGCTTGGGTCCCCAAACTGTGCAATTGCAGATACACACACTTAGGCAGCGGGCAGGGAGCAGTGCGGGTACTGTCTGAACAGTTCTCGGAGTCATTTGGGCCATCTGTCTCTCCACATTCTGAAATTTTCTTTGAAGCTAATAATGTGACAAAGTAGAATGATCAAGGACTGCTAGAATCGGACTCACTAGGATCTGAAGACAGACTCTGCCATTACCAGCTGTGTGATCTCAGGCAGGTTGCCTGCTCTTGCTGAACCTTGGTTTTATTTATAAAATGAGTGCCATACCATCTATGCCATATTACTGTAAAAACTAGAATTAATACATTCAGAGTGCCTAAACAGTGCTATGACTACGAGCAGAATGCCTAGGTTTGATTTCAGGGCCCCAGGATGATCTGAACATAATCTCTTGAACTTAAACATTTGATGTTTCAAAATTCTACAACTCAGGATTTAAGGCGAAAGGAAGAAAGCTTGACACTAAGAGTCATCACACAACACACACACACATAATCGTCCCTAAACCAAAACTAAACTATGGCAATAAAGCAAAAAGGTGTCTCTTTCACTCATACACCTCCTAATACCTTGAGAAAAAAAGACTCTAGGTTCTCATCTCCATCCCCTGTGTCCAGCATGGTGCCTGGTCTGCCTGGTCCAGCTACTGAAGCTTTTGCCTGCTTTTGATATGCAGAGGGGGTAGAAGGGGACAGGGCTGCTCCCAGGATGCAGGGGGCAAGGAAAGGAGACTCTAAAGCGTCAAAGCCACATTTCCTGTGGGCCCTGGGAGCTTTTCAAGTTTCTGGGCTAAGAAAGTTTAGAAACGGCCTCTGTCAGCGCTCAGTTCTGCAGGCAGAGGAGCAACAGCGGCATCTTCAGGCGAGTCGGATGAACTTCGCGGGAGAAATACAGAGGAAAGGCAGGAGATGCCCTGATTTCAAAACTCAGCTTTGCAGTGGAGACAGCTGGCCAGCTTGAGTTTACAGGTATTGCGCACAAGTGCAAACCATTTCATACAAAGCTCCAGGATCCCAGACCCTACCCAACGTGTTGACATTTCTCCCTTCCCTGTTAGAAAGACTTCAGCCAAATTCTCATGGAACTGGAAGCTCAGCTGAGTGTGTGTTCATTAGGGCTGGGGCAAGCAACAGAACTGATCTTGATTTTTCAAGAAAGAAAATCTATCAATGAGACATTGGACAGCTCATAGAATCTCTGGGAAAGCTGGAGAACCAGGCTCACGGGACAGGCGGGAATGAAGAGAAGGTAACATTCAGACCCCAGTCAAAGCATACCACAGGGTGATGATTCTGGTGAGGACATCACTGTGGGTGCCCACAGCTGCCACCAGCACCACCGCCAGCAAGGAGCTGCAGGACTGTCCCTGCTGACCCTGAGGTCAGCAGGTGATACCTGTGCGACCACCAAAATAAAATCTCACTGTCACCTGCTTCTTCACTAGCTCTCCACTCAAAGTCTCAGTCCACAGGCTTGCACCGCAGCTGCAAAGGGTCCCGGGGAAAAACTCCTGCCAGGCTGACACGAATTCCCCCAAATACAGAAAACACCGTCTGCAGACGCCGAGCAGCCCAACACCAACAATCGTCCCCTGCAGAATGGGATTGCAGAGACGGCAAATTGCAGGCCTGCCATCAGGGAGCGCTCTGGGGTCGTGGAAAATTACGTGAAAAAGTAGAAAAGGGCTACAGACAGGAATTCAAAACTCCAGGCCCAAGCGCTGACTGGGTTACTTATTAGCTATGTGATTTGCGCATGTAAATAAACTTCTCTGGGTTTTTGTCACCCATAGACTAGGAATTAATTGCAGGGCTGATGTTTATATCAACTGAGATAAAATTTTGAGGACACGCTTGGAAAATTGCACTGAGTAAAAACCGTTTGCCTCTCCGGGTCCCAACTTACCCATCTGTAAAGTGGGAATGATAGATACTCTCTACACTGGGGGGCTATGGAGAGGTCAACTAGAATATTACAAATCAATCGTTTATGTACAGATTGAACTTCTTTGGTGTCTGGGATTTGCCTCAAAATACTGCAGGTGGCAGGTGGGGCTGCAGATAAGCCGGACCACGAGTTAGTAAGGGCGGAACCCGCCGGTGGGCACATCATGCCATTTTTTTTCTATATTAGTGTTGGGGGTAAACGCTTCCATCATAAACTTTTTTTTTTTTTTGAGACAGAGTCTCACTTTGTTACCCTGGCTAGAGTGAGTGCTGTGGCGTCAGCCTAGCTCACAGCAACCTCAATCTCCTGGGCTCAATCCTCCTGCCTCAGCCTCCCGAGTAGCTGGGACTACAGGCATGCGCCACCATGCCCGGATAATTTTTTCTATATATATTAGTTGGCCAATTAATTTCTATTTATAGTAGAGATGGGGGTCTCGCTCTTGCTCAGGCTGGTTTCGAACCCCTGACCTCGAGCAATCCGCCCGCCTCGGCCCCCCAGAGTGCTAGGATGACAGGCGTGAGCCACCGCGCCCGGCCAAACTTCCTTGTCTTAATGAAGGGTCCCGGACTTACTTAGAAGACACAGTTCGCCATCTCCGAACTGCATCACTACTGGGCCAACGCCAGGAGCCCCCACCCCTTGGCCTCTCTGCCCCACGCCGCCCGCGGGCCGCCAGGTGAGGCCACCAGCGCCCACGTACCCGCTCAAGGGGCGGCGAAGCAACCCTATACAGTGGACGAAGACGGACTCAAACTCTCTTTTTCTGAAACTGCATGGGGTCAATGACCACAGGGAAAAACCGCGAACGCGCCCCCGCCGCCCGCCGCAGCCCGCGAGCCAGGGCGGCAAGGGGCGGCGGTTCGGGCCACCCCTGCGGCCCGCAGGGCTTGATGCCCACCGCGAACTCCACAGAGGAAAGGCTCCGCTGGCGCTGGGGGGGTGTCGGGTCACGCAGGGAGTCGGCCAGCCTGGCAGAGGCACGGTCAGCCCAGCGGCCTCACACCTAACCGCCCAGGTTCACTCACTGCGCAGGCCCCGCGCCGCCCGCCACCGGCCCGGCCCCGCGGCGGCGCAGGGCAAGCCCGGAACAAACCCGGCCCCGGCGGGGCGGAAGCGCTTCCGACCCTAACCAAGATGGCGGAGAGGCGGGGCCAGCAAAGCGGAAGTAGCCAGTGGACGGCTGACGGGTGCACCATGGCGGCCGTGGCCGCCTCCTCCGCGCTGAAGCGGCTGGATCTGCGCGACCCCGCGGCGCTTTTCGAGACCCATGGAGCGGAGGAGATCCGCGGGCTGGAGCGCCAGGTTCGGGCCGAGATCGAGCACAAGAAGGAGGAGCTGCGGCAGATGGTGGGCGAGCGGTACCGCGACCTGATCGAGGCGGCCGACACCATCGGCCAGATGCGCCGCTGCGCCGAGGGGCTGGTGGACGCCGTCAAGGCCACCGACCAGTACTGCGCCCGCCTCCGCCACCCCGGCTCGGCCGCGCCCCCGCCGGCGCAGGACCCGCAGGTCAGCCCCCGTAGGTCGGTCCTCGCGCCCCATCCCTGCCACCGCGCTGGTCAGTGCGCGCCGCGCCCCCGCGGGACCGCCGCGTCAGTCCCGGCCCCCCGGGTCCTCCCCAGGCCGCGCGGACCCGCTGGCAGTCCCCGCCTGCCAACTTTCCGAGCCCCGCGGGCCGGTGCTCCTCGGTCTCCGACCCGCGAATCCTCACCTTCCCGGGAGGAGCCCGCGCCTCTCCCTTCCGACTCCCCTCCTCAGGGGTCAGCGCCCGCGGTCCTTTCGCGGGCTGCTGCTCCGTCCTGGAGAAGTCTTTCAGCTGTTGCTTCAGGAGACTTCCCCGCCGTCCGCGCCCCGGTTCCCTCACCTCACTCTGGGTTCCCTGAGCTCCTTTCAGTTATAGCGGAAAACGCCAGGGGTCTCTGTCTAGACAGTTCAACTCTTCCCTTTGTAACAAGTCCTGACGGTGTTTTTCTTAGAATAGATTTCTCCTTTACGTTAACACCTTCCCCCAAATCATTTATTCCTCATCCCAGCCTTCCCCCAAATCCCACCCCAAGAATAACTTCCACCCTTCGGGAGTTGTTGGAGGGTAGTACCGGGCGTCCAGCCCTTACCTTTTAGTAGCTGAACTAGGGCTCTTCTAATTCAGGTTCCCCTGCATTCTTCCTTCAAATGCTTTTGATTAGATCCGAGGTGGAAGGATGGGGCAGTAAACGCATCCTAATATTGGAGCGGCATCTTGCGTTCCCAAAGAATGTTGACCCAGGGAGGGACGATGTGAAATGGCATGAGGGTGAAAAGGTAAACAGGGAAGTTGTTCTTTACAACCTGAGAGAAGAATTTACTGGAACATGGAAGAAGAAATGGCACAAGTACAATCTAGCTCCAGTTTGGAACTTTTTCATGCTACCTGGGTTTTAGAAAAATCCAGGTCAGTAGACTGGGCTGACACAATAGAACTACAGAAGGTTGGAACTGTGTCACAAATGTTTGAAATGAGTGACCCTATCCCTTCCATAGCTGAGCATTTAGTACATGCCCCCCCTTAGGTGGCCAGCCTTAACTGTAACTGAGTCATGCTTCCAGGTTTATTAAAAGGGCAATTTGTATTATGCCTGATTTTAGAAATTATTGATTTTCATAATAGTTTGATCTGATTTATTCTCAGTCAAACCCACAAAAGCTTGAGTGCCTTCTCTGTTCAAGTCAAAAAGAAATACAAGTCCCCCAATTCCTGCTCTAAAGGAGCTTACAATCTAGGTAAGGAAATAAATCCATGGAAAGTTGACCAAAAACAGGTAAATAATTTAGAATAATAGTAGAAAAGATTTATGATAATGGGTGATTAATTCCCAAAATAATTGCATGCATTTACCCCAAGAGTTCTGAAGGCTTTAGGTCCTTCTTAGTAAGGCAAGGACTTACAGACAGATGAGATTTGGAATATGGGTATCTTAGTCCATTTGTGCTACTATAACAAAATACCTGAGATTGGATAATTTATAAAGAACAGAAATTTACTTTTGCACAGTTCTGGGGTCCAGGAAGTCCAAGATCAAGGCACTGGTGTTTGATGTCAGCTGAGAGACTTCTTGCCATGTCCTTATGTGGTAAGAGGTGGAAGAGAATGAAAAAGCTGAGCTAGTTCCCTCCAGCCCTTTTATAAGGCACTAATCCATTAATGAGGGGATGTTTGAGGGAAGAGAATCTTAAGAGAATGGGCTGAGATGAATAGAGGCCCAAAGACTGAACCAGATGAAGATTTGGTATAGGGCTGGTGAAGAGGAACAGTCAGCAAATAAGTCCATGGTGCCCTCAAGGAAGCAGGAGAAAAAGTAGGAAGGCTGAACATCAGAAAAGGAAGGAGAAAGCTCACACAGTTGGTAGTCTGCAGAGCTCCCTGTGAGTGAGACATCAAGAGGATTGCTGATGGCCAGATGGTGAGATGAGAGTTTGCCTCTTCATGGGATCCAGCGAAGGTGCACGCACACGTAGGAAAAACTGTGGGCTTTTACAGCTCTCCAGCAACTGTACTGCTGAGTGCCATTGAGTCCAGCTTAATAAAAGCTTTGTATCCTAAAATACCCCCCAATTTTTCCCCAAGCCTGCAGAAAACTGACCTTGCTTTTGTGTGCTCTTCTGACTTAGTTCTGTGCCCTTCCCTGCAGCCACAACAGCCATCCCAGCAGAATTTCTACAGTATGGCTGCCCAGATCAAGCTACTATTAGAAATTCCTGAGAAGATCTGGAGCTCTATGGAAGCCTCTCAGTATCTGCACGCCACACAGCTCTACCTGCTCTGCTGCCACCTTCACAGCCTGCTCCAGCTGGATTCTTCTAGTTCCCGATATAGCCCTGTCCTCTCCCGGTTTCCTATACTCATCCGGCAGGTGGCAGCAGCCAGCCACTTCCGGTAAGTGGATCCGGCATAAAGTCTCTGGTGATGGTCAAGCTTCATCACTACAGTTTTATGAAGTCTGTCTTCTTTCCTGATGTGCCAAGACTCTTCACCCCAGATGTTAAAAATTCCCTGTTGCCCTTTGTTATCATTTTTCTAGGTCAGCTATTCTACATGAAAGCAAGATGTTGCTCAAATGCCAGGCCGTGTCTGACCAAGCTGTCGCCGAGGCCCTGTGCTCTATAATACTCTTGGAAGAGAGTTCTCCTCGCCAAGCCCTCACAGACTTCCTGCTGGCCAGAAAGGCAACTATTCAGAAACTTCTCAACCAGCCACACCACGGTGGGTGTGGCTTCTCTCCAACATTTGGTCCTTAAGCATGGGATAGAGAAGGGTGAGCTGAGGGAGACCGAAGCCTTCAGAGCGTCCTCTGTCTTGAACTGTACGAAAGGAAATTGTAAAGGAGAAACAGAGGATGGTTTCTTCTTGTAGGTACTGGTATCAAGGATCAGATTTGCTCGTTGGTGGAGTTGCTGGCTGCCACGCTGAACCAAGCACATGCCCTTTTCTACACTTTGCCAGAAGGCGCGCTGCCTGATCCGTCTCTGCCGTGTGGCTTGCTCTTCTCTACTCTGGAGACTGTCACAGCCCAGCATCCTACCGGTGAGCTTTTAGCCAACCAGTTTTTTTTTTTTTTTTCATGTGGCAATGGATCCCTATGGGGCTAGAATGGATGCTGAGAGCTCACTTAGGAGGCTGCCACCATGACCCAGGTGTCAGATGCTGGGGACTCGGGTTAGATGGGAGCAGTTGAGATGGAGGTCAGTGGACATCTGTGTAGGAGGAGAAGATTGGTGATGTATTGGTTGTAGAAGGTAAGGGAAGGGAGGTGCCCACATTAACTAGAAAAGGAGCTGGTTTGAAGGCGCTGATGATGAGCTCACTTTGAACTTGTGGCATGGGAGATGCCTGGGACCTTGAAGTGGGGCTATAGAATGGGCAGGTGCCTGTGACCCACAACAGAGCAGCAGGACGTCTGGGTGGGGACATAACCTGTGGCGCCTCTGCATGGGGCTGTTAATTAAAGCCATGGGAATGGATGACATCATTAGTAAGAAAAGAAAATGCCAGAGACTGTGGCATTATGGGATTCCAGAAGTCCAGGGTTAAATGGGAGTGTCAGCAAAATCAACTAAGGAGGCCAGGCGAGGTGGCTCACGCCTGTAATCCTAGCACTCTGGGAGGCCGAGGCAGGAGGACCGTTTGAGCTCAGGAGTTCGAGACCAGCCTGAGCAAGAGTGAGACCCCATCGCTACTAAAAAAATAGGAAAAAATTTGCTGGACAACTAAACATATATAGAAAAAATTAGCCGGGCATGGTGATGCATGCCTGTAGTCCCAGCTACTCGGTTGCCTGAGGCAGGAGGATTGCTTGAGCCCAGGAGTTTGAGGTTGCTGTGAGCTAGGCTGATGCCACGGCACTCTAGCCCAGCCAACATAGTGAGACTCTATCTCAAAAATAAAAAAATCGGGCCGGGCGCGGTGGCTCACGCCTATAATCCTAGCTCTCTGGGAGGCCGAGGCGGGCGGATTGCTCGAGGTCGGGAGTTCAAAACCAGCCTGAGCAAGAGCGAGACCCCGTCTCTACTATAAATAGAAAGAAACTAATTGGCCAACTAATATATATAGAAAAAATTAGCCGGGCATGGTGGCGCATGCCTGTAGTCCCAGCTACTTGGGAGGCTGAGACAGAAGGATCGCTTGAGCCCAGGAGTCTGAGGTTGCTGTGAGCTAGGCTGACGCCACGGCACTCACTCTAGCCTAGGCAACAAAGTGAGACTCTGTCTCAAAAAAAAAAAAAAAATAAAAAAATAAAAAAATCGACTAAGGAGGTGCCAAAGATGGAAAGGAAATAAGTCAGTCAAGTATGGTGATAGCCAAGTGGTCATTTCAGGAGGCGTGCATTACATAGCTACCACTTGGCTTACTTTATCTTCCAACTCAGGCACCACCTCCTTATGCTTTGGTTTCTCTCTAGGTGCTCACATTTAACACGTTACCCTCTCGTGAGGGCTGGGCGTTGGGTGGTTTGTCATGGCATTGGAAAACACTGCAACAGCACCTTGGAGGGGCCCCGAGTCTCACGCTCCAGAGGGTGCTTGTGACGCAGTGATGGCGCCTCCCAGAGCTGCAGAGCGCAGGCCTGTGCCCTTCTTGACAGGTCACCTCTGAGGAGCTACTAATGACTCACTAATCAGGAGAGTGGTCATCGATTCTGTCCTTAGATCTTCAAGGGAGGTAGGAGGATGCTGAGGAAAGGGAAAGGGAAACTGTTAACGTTTACTTTTTTTGACAATGTAAGTTCTACTTTCAAAGTCCCAGGGACTACACAGCACTCATTCCTTCTTTCTACTCTCTGACCCCCATTTTTTCCTTTTGACCTTGGTTTGCTATTCTCCATCAGTAGGATGACCACAGTTGTGGGGAAGCTGCCTGGCTCCCTGATGGGGGGCCGGGGGAGCTGGACATATTCTGTACTTCCTTCTCCCCCACTATTCCAGGAGTCCAGTTTGACCTTTCTAAAGAAAAACTAGATGATTTTTGGAAATTCCTTCAGGGTTCACGTTTTAATGTGCGGTTCAAAGGGTGCCCTCGGTTGCTTCTCACTGGCCTTCTCTTTAGGAAAGGGCACTGGGGTCCTGCAGGGGGAGATGAAACTCTGCAGCTGGTTCAAACACCTGCCGGCTTCCGTCGTCGGGTTCCAGCCAGTGCTGCGCACCCTCGCGCATCCCATCAGCCCGGAGTACCTGCGAGACACGCTGCAGAAGTGGATCCACATGTACGTAGCCAGAAAGCGATTCCCTAAGGCTGGCAGTGACCCCTGTATGAGGGTCGGTGAAGCATGAGTGGGAAGCCTGGTCTCCAGATGGCATGCTGCCACTCTCTCTGAGGCCCACTGTCGCCTTCGTGGCCATTCAGCACCTACTGTGGGAGAGCCAGGAAGGAATTTATCTTTCAAAAGATTGTGTGGAAGGTTTTTAGTTCTCTTTATGCAAAAGTTCTGCAACTCCTAAGGTTTTATATGATGCATTCGTTTTGGAAGCCATTCCCTGGGGCTTTAGACTTCCTCATATCCTCAGGGAAGCAAGGGTGGCCTGGTAAGAGGGCAACAGACTGCACTCCCCAACCCAGCCAGAAACGCTCTGTGTTGATAGAGCTCTGTAAACGCTCTGACACACACACACACACACATTTATATCTTGGGACTCAGGTAAAAGGTTTTCAAATGGAATCCTGCTGTTTTTCTTAATAAAGATATAAAAACCATGCATCTAATGGAGCCCAAGGGAAATGATTTTGTTGCAGGTGTAATGAAGACATTAAAAATGGGATCACCAATCTGCTGCTGTATGTGAAGAGCATGAAAGGTCTTGCGGGGATCCGCGACGCCATGTGGGAGTTACTCACCAACGAGTCCACCAATCACAGCTGGGATGTGATATGTCGGCGCCTTCTAGAGAAGCCACTTTTGTTCTGGGAGGATATGATGCAGCAACTCTTCCTTGACCGGTTACAGGTGAGGTAGGAAATCACAAGGTCCAGCCGTTGCACAGCCAATCCTAGTGTAGTCTTTTGACTGTCTTGGGAGACTCCTGTCACTTCTTTCCCTGCTTACTAACACACATCCACAGTCTAGAGCTGAGGCCGGGCGTGGTGGCTCACGCCTGTAATCCTAGCACTCTGGGAGGCCGAGGTGGGCGGATAGCTCAAGGTCAGGAGTTCGAAACCAGCCTGAGCAAGAGTGAGACCCCGTCTCTACCAAAAATAGAAAGAAATTAATTGGCCAAGTAACCATATATAGTAAAAAATTAGCCGGGCATGATGGCACGTGCCTGTAGTCTCAGCCGCTCTCGAGGCTGAGACAGAAAGATCGCTTGAGCCTAAGAATTTAAAGTTGCTGTGAGCTAGACTGACGCCACAGCACTCTAGCCCAGGCAACAGAGTGAGACTGTGTCTCAAAAAAAAAAAAAAAAATAGAGCTGAAAGATGCCAGGCTCTGTCAGTTGGTCAGGAACATGTCCATGTCCATTAGTAAT